GTTGGGGATAGGGGAGCTCCAAATGGCGACACAGTTGAAGAGGGGACAATGCCATTATCCTTCCTCGGAAATGTGCTAGTGAGAAAGGAGGTAAAAGGGCGGGAAGATGAGACTGACTTGGGCGGCTTGCTGGAGATTGGGTTGCTAGGGGGCTCCAAGGAGCGACCTGCATTTAAAGCAGGTGGCCGGGAGTAACAGATATCGTAGTATGCGTGGGAGTAGGTGGGGAGATGTGAACGGTTGGATGAAGAAGAAGGTTTGGAGGAAGAATGGTGACGCATGTGAGCCGTCACCTTGATGGGAGCCTTACCCTTGTCTTTGATTTGATGGGGATCTCGAGGAGATGAGGGGGGAGGGCAACAAAGCATAGTTCGGGTTGATTATGGTCCTGAGTGCTTTGGGAATTCAAGATGGAAGTCCCCAGAGTATGGTGGGGTGGTAGAGACTTACTGTGATCCTATGGATTGTTGGAGACTTTGGGTGTGGAAGCCAAAGAGAAAAGGAGTGCATTGTTCCTACGGTGGACCACAGTCCAACCATCGTGGTCAGGCTCAGGTTGAGCATGGCGGGTTTGGCCCTGAACAGAAATTCAGACACTGTAGGAGAAACTGTTGTTATGAAGGACGAGGGAAGATGGAATGAGATTTACCTAGACAGTAGCAATAAGGACAAACTTTCCCAAAGGTAGGGATCCCAAGGATTTCCAGTGAACCGACAAGAATTGGCCGCAAATGATAAACTATATGGGCCGCAAATGATAAACTATATGGGATCGAGGTCCATCCAGCTTAAAATTGACGCTCCCAAGAGGACTTAACTAGGGTACTCTAGCTCGAGAACGAAGTCTATTGAACAATATGATTAAGGGCACGTTCGGCATGTGAAAATATTTCCCAAGACATTTTCATGTGAAAAAAATTCGCTCATGTGTTTAGGTGCGGGAGTATTTTCACACCAATTGGCCCCAGTGCATCTTTTCACACCAACTAGCAACAACTAATTGGTGTGAAATATTCACCCACCTAACCACAAGAGGGGATTTTTCACGTGAAAATATTTCCCCGACCAAATGTGCCCTAAAGCTTTTTCTGAATTTAAAAACAATTATTATATACAAAGAATCTTCTTTTTAAAAATATTTTTTTTAATTTTTGTCATCATTGGAGTGTGTTTCATAAGTGCGAAGTGGAACTAGAAACCCAAAAATGAGAATTCAAATTTCAGTCCTCAAGCATCAAAGAAGATCTAGTGTTCGATGAAAATGTTAGTGATCCAGATATAACAACCAAATATGCTAGTGATCCACGCTCCCATTGTAAAACGAATCTCGAAATGTGCTGGAAATCTTCGATACCAATGTAAAAGAAACTCAATTGTGGAGGCTTGATTCCGCTTACTCATGGACCGATGATTTGGATAAGAGGGATCCAGATCTAATTAAGCAGGGATCTAGATCCTGAATTTTGTGGATCAAGGTCCCTAAAGACAAAAAACGTCTAGAATCGAGATCCCTTGTCCCGAAGTGGAAGATCGAGCTTTTGGAGCTGGAGCGACCATCTTCTTGGGAGATCCCTATAACTATGTGTTAATGCAAGGTGTAAAAGGACAAACCTACCTTGGGCTAAAATGAAGATCATTGAAGAGAAGCAATAAGGACATGATCACTTGAGTTTTACAAAGAACAGATTCCCCAAGAACTCTACATATAGAAGTGCAATTAGCTTGGTTGACTTTCTTGCAAGAACATCCATGTAAGAGGAACAAGAAGCAGTATGGCATCGTTGCCCTAGAAGGACCCAATTAAACCTCATTTCTGGTTTGCCAAAGATAAGAAAGAATCAGCCAGACTTTAGAAAAGTAAAAAGAGGGGGGGGAGGTAGTCATACAGGATGAAGGCTGTGAAATTTGAAACTGGAACATTTGACCACAGGGAATTGAGGATTCTGTATGGTTCAAAGCTAATGCAACAATTTCATGGAGTAGATTATGGAAGAATTATAGCCAATCCCAAATAATTGGGATAAGGCTTGGACAATGATGGTGATGAGATTATCGAAGAATTATACAGAGACAGCAATCACTATGTAGGGACAACAACATAACTTGAACACTCATGTCCATGGTTCAACACATGTCAACATGCAATGACACATGTGTTTGACACTTTTAGAACTTGGAAATCGTGCTCACCTTATTTTTTGAAATGTTATTCATAGATCACTTAAAACTCTCCCTCCCTCCTCTTACAACAAACCTACAGACGTATCTGAAGGGCCATTATTGGGTTGGTTTCTGACACGAATGTTTGCCCAGATACGTTACAATCTCCTTCAAATATGTTATTGTCCCAGACATGCATATATAAAAATCACAAAGGGCTTACACAAAGTTACTAAGAAATCTCTAATTGGGAAAAGCAACCGATTTCAAGCTACAGACTAACCAAAGAAGGCTAATTGGTTTGTCATAGTAGTGTCGTGTTCTTGTTCTATCATAATGTTGCACCAAACTTAAGTGTGTTACCTAAGTGGAGAAGTATTTGTGCCATTTAACCTATAACCTAGCAAGTCATTCTCAAAAAAAAAAACCTATAACCTAGAAAACTCAAGGTTACAAATATGGGCTACATAGGTCACCCTTCAACTATTCAAGCATAAGGACCTCACTACAAACACTTAAAGGGAACAGCAGTAGTAAATATTCTAAAGAAAAACTAAAAAGAAAAAAGAAAAAAAAGATAGAAATGAAATCAACAGTAGATCACTTTGTGTCATTTACATGTTCATGTGATAAATGGTGATCTCGTAAATAATGCACATGTTGATTTGTGTCTCTGCTTGATGAAATAGACGACCCAAATAATCATGGAGTAGATTATGGAAGAATCATGGAGTGGATTATGGAAGAAATATAGCCGACTCCAAATATTGGGATAAGGCTTGGATAATGATGATGAGATTATCGAAGAATTATACAGAGACAGCAATCACTATGGACGGACAGCATAACTTGAACACTCATGTCCATGGTTCTTAACACATGTCAACATGCAATGACACGCGTGTTTGACACTTTTAGAACTTGGAAATCGTGCTCACCTTATTTTTTGAAATGCCATTCATAGATCACTTAAAGTTACTTAAAAATCTCCCTCCCTCCGTTCACAACTAACCTACAGACGTATCTGAAGGGCCATTATTGGGTTCTGTCAAGTCCTTCAAATACGTTATTGGCCCAGACAAGCAAATATAAAATTCACAATAGGCATACATAAAGTTATTAAGAAATCTCTAATTGGGAAAAGCAACTGATTTAAAGCAACAGACTAAACAAAAGAAGGCTAATTGGTTTGTGTCATGTTCTTGTTCTATCATAATTTTGTACCACACTTAAGCATGTTACTTAGGGGGAGAAGTATTGGTGCCATTTAACCTGTAACCTAGAAAACTCTAGGCTACAAATATGGGCTTCATAGGTCACCCTTCAAGTATTCAAGCATAAAGACCCCACTACAAACACTTAAAGGGAAAAGCAATAGTAAATATGCAAAAGGAAAATTAAAAAGAAAAAAGAAGGAAAAGATAGAAATGATAACAACAGTAGATCACTTTGTGTCATTTACATGTTCATGTGATAAATGGTGATCTAGTAAATAATGCACATGTTGATATGTGTATTTGTTTAATGAAATAGATGCATCTTTAAATGGTAAAAGATGCAGGCCATGTTGGAATGAGTTGGACCATAGAGACATTGATCATTGCAATTGAGAGGTTAGAATAAAAAGAGGGAAGGCACAAAGAAAGCCCTTTACAAATAAGGCATTTCTCACCCACATGTGAGGTTTTTTTTCCAGGCAGGCAACAAGAAATACCCACTTAAAGATAACCCAAGCAGGCAACTTTTTGCCATCTTCCCTTTTGTCCAGGCCCCCATTATAGCAGATTTGCTAGCTAATGGGGAAACCAGTGTTTGAACTCCAACTACTTACGGGTACCATCATGTTTGAAGTTAGTAGGAATTTGTTTATAGTTACCAAGAACCTAAACAGTGAAGTTGTTTCCTCATGGGGTAACATAATTAAAAGCATTAAACCTAAATGATAGGAACTACTAAAAAAATCATAACTAATAAATGGCAAAATATTCCCCTCATGGGCATCGATAAAAAAAATAAAAAGTAAAAGATAAAAAATGAAATAAGGGATACAGATGAAGTTCCAATTTCACATCCTGGCATTAAGGGAACTTCATTCAAAAAGTAAGCTCGAGACTCATACTTACCAAGCACGCCCTCCAAATTGAAATAAGACAAAACAAAATCTTATTAATATGCTGTAAGTTTAAAAAAATAATATTATACAGGATTTCAAAGGCCACACTTTGTTTGAATGAGGCCACAATTTGTTTGAATATCGTTTTTGGAGTAGAATGATAATGCTGACCACATCTTAGTCTCAATTATAAATAGCCGAATACAGAAAATGTAATTTGAAACTTCATCTTCACTTATTAAGATACAATAGACGCCTTTGAACCCTTCATGTTGCCTATCTATCTAGCACTGAATTTACTGAAAAGAACAATGCAACATATCTTCATAGTTTCGACAACAAAATGCACACAACTGTTTATTTAGACAGGAATGAGGCTAAGAATACAAACATTTGCAAAAATTATGATGATGGAGACATAGCCATGATCACATCCCCAACCCACCCCACAGATACAAGCACAAATACATGCAGAACAGATAGTATCTATCAATCTATCCATCTATCCATCTATACAGACACACACATGCGCGGACATGCACACACACGCGCACGCACATACACATACACATACACGCACAACTATGTAGACAGCATCATAACCAATGATCATTATATTTCAAAGGATATTCATATATTTCTTTATTTGCAATAAAAAGTAAGGATTGCAGAAGCTGCTTGCACAAGCATAATACTTCTTAGGGGCAAAAATGCAGAGCATAGTTACCTCTGACTTGTGACCAGTGAGTTTGCTCACAAAATCTTCTTGAGCCCGTATATCACGTTGGAAAATAGTCTTATCTCGACTTCCTGATGATAATAAGGATGAACTCCAAGCCAAGGCTCCAACTCTAAAGCGATGTCCCTCCATGGTCCTTACCTTTTTACAACGAGTTGCATCCCAAATCTACACGAAGGAGACCATTCTAGTATTTAGTCAACAGATCTAGATTGAGAAAAGCATCTAAATCAAATGCATCCATGATGAGTAATACAGCCTGTTCAAGTTATCCTTTCTACACTGGAGTAATATTAAATCTAGACAGCATGTTCAAGTTATCCTTTCTATACTGGATGTCTATTATATAACTTTACTTCCACGCACCCACTACGATCTGAAAGTCTTATTGCTATTGTATTGAATTTGTAGTAACATATGGAGTGTGTAGAATTTTCCGATGAGTCATTTTGAATATAATCTGCATAAATAATTTTAAGGGCAAAGTGCATCCTTTACTCGCCCCCAAATCAAAGTTTCAAAAAATACCTCAGCTCTAGAACACCTACCTGCATCCCCAAAATTTTCTACGTATCCTCCTTCCAAACTTCTCTATACTTTTTCCAAACCAGGTCAATTATTTTCTATCATAAAGTAACATAGTTTTTTCCTTAAACCAACCCTTACCCCCCCTTCCCCCATTCACTAACTCTGAGCTATTTCTCTTTGCAGGATAGTACATTCTTGTAGCTTTCTTAACAGTCAGAACTATATCTCTTAGCAGGATAGCTTCCTTAATCCTTCTCTTTCTATAAAAGGCCATCAATAAAGTAATACAAGAAGCATTTTGCAAGGGAACCAGAGTATTCCGGGCTATCTCAAAAACCAATTCTTGAGAATGGGTCATGAGCCTCTTTTGTTTCAAACTATTCGTTTATGGCCAGCTTCTTTGATATTCAATTTCAAAACCATTTCTGAAGCATTCGGTTGCAGGAATTCTTCATGTTTAGCCCTTTCTCTACTTTTAGAGGCGTACTCTAATGAACATAGTGTTCCACTGTTGCTTATTACACGTTTATATAACAATTAAAACTTCATCAAAAGATACTTGAGAAGCAATACTAATGAAATGCTTATATGAGAAGTAAAACTTAATCAAGAGAGATTTGACAAGCAGTTCTTAGAAGCCATACAACCATGAGACCATCTCAGGGAAATAGTAAACATGTCAACTTTGGAGAGATGAATTTTACAGTCAAACAATTCCTCTTCATATGAGAGGCCTGGTATATCCTGAAGTCAATATTTATGATACTCCAATCCAAGAACTTCAACATTGAATAAATCAACATATCCAAGGCATAAAGAGCATCTGCCATGAAGCTGACTTCCCACCACTTCCATAGTATCAAATCCAACCAAAGCTTTCAAGCCTAGAACCACAAAAGGCTTGGGCATGGGACCTTCATTTTCTTTTGCCAAGCCTCTTCCCGAGATAAGTGATAGGCATTGATGATAAAAGGATATCATAGTTTTTGTTATATAAATTATTATGGTGCTCCAAGCCAGGTCTGAAGTTGTATATAACAAAGTTAAGTTCCAGAACCTCTTTCAGTGCAAATGAAGAGACATCATAATCTTCTCTTCCAGATAATGTCACTTGAGACTTCTTTCATAGATAAAGATCCTTGATACTAATTAAGAACTCCACAAAATGGCTTCCATAACATGTACAATTTGAAAGTGCATCAATAAGGGGGTAAGCAGTGATGGACTACTAAAAATTAATCCCTGTGGCATTAACCAAAAATTGATGGCAGTAGTTCATCAATAAGTTCAAGAATCACAAGAGAAAAAGAAAAAGGTCCGTCTTGTTGGTTGCAGTCAATCATACTCCCCACAAAAATGTTCCTCTTCAGAAATATGACCTTTGCATATGTAGTTTGCTCACAGTTTTGTTTATATCCCATCTTAAACTAGCCGCCATCCATATCCATATTAAGGCTCTTAGTCATTTAGATGTTTATCAAGTTTCCTATTAACATCAACTCTGTTAAGCAATATAAATAGATATCTCAAAGCTCTCCCGCCTGCATATGTAGGATTGGTAATATCAATAATTAAGTAGTTTAAAAAGATAGACTAAACAGAAAATGATCATCAATTCTTTGTACCATGTATTGGCACAATTATTTGCCATGTTTCCGATTTCAAATGGACATTTTTACCACAATAGAAACTAGGATAGCTTTCCTGAAGAAGAAGAAATAATGGGCAGAAACTTTTAATAACTATATACACTTTGCAATCCTAGACCAGATAGACATCTGGTTAAATCAATACTATATAAAAGGGCTTCCCAGCTAAAGCAGACAAGCAAGCAATCTTTGACTGCAGCATTCAAGTTATCATACTTTAATATATTTTTATCTTGAGATTGGGTCCAGGTAAGAAACATTGTTCCATAACATTTAACTCTTTTATCTGTGGAAATGAAATAATTTGTGCAGAAAGTAACCTGAACTTCACCAAGATTTGTTCCAACAGCCAAGTAGGTCCCTCGCTGTGTCCATCCAACAGAACAAACACTGTCATCCACTCCTAAGTCACACAATTTTGTCACCTACAGGGTGAGAATATAAGAATTTGTTAGAGAAATTGATCATTTTATAAATAGCACAACCCAAATAATGACTTGATGTAGAAGCAATTAATAGGAGAAATCCAAAAACCAAAGTGATTATACCCATTTCTGACAAAAATATATTTCACACCGATTTATGTTGGGCAGTGCATATTAAACCTCTAAAATGAAGAAAATTGTTAATTCAAAGAATAAAAAAGAAACATAACCACCTTACTACTACTAGCGCTCCACAAGTAAACACATGTACCCAAACCTACTGCCAGTACATTATGCGACGACCAATCCACAAGGTTCAAATAGAAGTCGTCTTGCAAAGCAGGAGCATCCAGCACCTGTAAATAACCGAAATCAATAAACTCAATAGTAACCATAACCGAATTAGCTGCAACCCAATTTCTAAGAACCAAAAAGTGAGCATAAGATTCTAATTCACCAGGCCAAGCAAAGGGATAACTTAAGAGAACAAGGAGCCATCATATTGCAAATAAGAGATTCATACAAAACATCAACAAACAAAAACTGCAGTAACTAAAAACCTTCACACTCACAGAGAAAGCAGCTAAGTATGTTCCCAGAGCACCACTCGAACACATCAATTAATTAAACCCATGACAAGAATCAAGCCAATAACATCGACAATACAGCAAACAGGCAAACGATTATCATAAAAGCAAACAAAACCGTATGATAAGAGTCTCAAACAAAAGCAGCACAAAATCCAGTAACAGACTCAGGATAACGCCATGGTAGAGTAGAAATCTCCAGAAAACAAGCATACACGAATCCTGTTAAATGGGGGACCCAGAGAGAGACCTTATATGGCGATCGAGGGACCTTGCGAGGTGCCTTAGGAGGAGTTGAAACAATCCCAGACAATGCCCCATCAACTCCAACTGGTGAAAGCGAAAAAGGCGAATCAGTATACCCACTTCTCCTATGCTCTGTCTTGAACCTCAAAATATTTCTATTGGGTGGGCTCAAAGTCGAGTACTTTCCAGGCCCAAACCCAAATATCTTCTCTGGAGTTGCAGGCGAAATCACCCCCGAATCTCCTCCAAAGAGCACGCTCTTCAGCAAGTTTGAATAAACCCCCGAACCATCCTCCTTCCCTTCACCACCATTAGAGCTATGAGACGTCGAAGGAGAAGAAGATGATCGGTCGATAAGTGCAAAATTGGCAAGGTTCGAACCAGATCTGCTCGGTATAAACCGATCACTATATGTGACTCTCGACGAAGAAGGCGAGCTCAATCCATATGGGCTGGTGCTTAAGAAGCACAGGGAGCGACGAGCAGAGGGAAAAGAAGAGAACGAAGAAGACGAAGCAGGAGACGGAGTTTCAATGGACAGATTCGTTCTTGACATACCCGGCGGCAAATTCAGAGAAGGAGAAGGTCTCCTTGTTGATGATGCCTGATCTTCCATTGAAGATGGGTTTTCGTTGTCGATATCCATGGCTGCCTCGGGTTTTGTTGGGCGAGCCTTGAATCGAGAAACCCAGTTTTTCTTTCTCAATATCTTCCACACTTTTTCTCTCTAAACCCTTCTTCTGCCATTGAAGGTCTCTTCATTTTCTCTCCCATGAACAGGGAAGACCCTTGGCCTTGGCCTGGGTTTTGGACTGTGGGGGAAGAAAGAGAGGAAAGTGGTTGGATTAATTTGTCCGTCACAGAGTTGTTTTGGGTCACCAAAGGAGATAGAGAGGCGCCATTTTATAAAAGCGCGCGTATAGTATGTCTCCGCGGGAGCATAATCTGTATCTACTCCCTCACTCCCATATCCGGTTTCGGAAGACTTATCCGGTCCAAAATGTTTGGAACCACATACGAATTAGGGAAAATGTCTACCCATGGGGATGTACTTTACTGACATTATCCGTTTCACAGCACACACACTTAACTCAATTAATATTTTTTTTTGCTTTTACCCTCCACGTCAATAAATTAATATGTTAAAAAAGTAAACTACTATTTCAATTATCTCTATCTCTCTCCGCCTGACTCCTTGTACCCCCTAATCTCAATCTCTCTTTCAGCCCAAAATGGGAAAATGCGATCCAGTAGTAAGGCTTTTGAAATTTTGAAGCTAGAATCCGGTATGACACGCTTTTGTGCCTGTCCACTTTTTTTCACTATTTTTGCCACAGTCTAACAATAAATGTGCTGAACCAAAAGAACATAGCAAAAAATGTCACTGGACATAAAATGTGTCAAGCTTGTAGCTGGGAGGAAGAAGCTTGTACATTTATTGTTAGACTATAGCGAATACAATGAAAAAAAAAAAAAGGTTCCACACACTTTCCCATTTCGAATGAAGAGAGAAAGAGAGAGAGGATTGAAATGGTAGTTTAATCTTTAACGTATTAAATTTTTTTTATTGGAAGGTAAAAGCAAAAAAAATTAAATTAAATTAAGGGTGTGATGTGAAAAGTATAAAAAGTTGGATGTCTATAAATTACATTCCAAAAAGGTATCCACAAGTTTCTTTAAAAATTACTACATGACTATTTTCAACAAAAAAAAAAAAAATTTAAATTTTGACTTTTGTCATACTTTGATCTAGCTGTTAAAAATTTGGATGGTTTCTATATAATCTTGAGACATCAGTTTTTTCTAGTACATAGAGAGAGGGTTTCAAAAATATTTTTTATTGAGATTAGCCTATTAAATATTACGTCCCTAAAATTAGGATCTAAAAGGTATAACTATCGTGTGTTGCACATGAGGAAGTAAATGGATAGTATTACTCCCAATGGAGTAGAAAATCTTTTAAGTTTACGAAATAGCGAAAAGATACAAGAGTAGAATTTCCATTTACTCGTTTGGTAGAACCTCACATAGAATTATTTCATGACCCTAAATTTGAATGTAACCGATCAACTTCAATAAAAAAATTTCCTACTTGTAACTTCCTTTTTTTTTTATATATATAATAATAGTTGTGACATTTATGCACTTAGAAAAAAATAATGTTCCGATATTGAATACAAATGATTCAATTTTTAGATAATGAGATTTAAGTATCAAAACAACTTAAATTTCAAAAACAAATTGAAAATAATCATCTAATAATTCTTTAGGGGCCGTTTGAGTACTTGAAAGTCTATTACGTGACAATAAATTACAAGAAAATATGTCATTTCCACCAGGTACACTCAATCGTATGGAAAAGGAAAGAGATTAAGCACGATTTCCCAAAAAATCAGTAAATCCATTACTCACGGTGATAAGTGAAAAATCTATTACGAGAGTAAGGGGCAATTTTGGGAAATCTTTCACATGCGTTTTTGTCTAATCTATCCCTCATTAAAAAAATGTTCTAAACCTTACTCTTTATAGTAAGTCATTCCCCTTTTTAAGCTCATCCCCTTATCTGAAGATATCAACTGTCATATAAAAACAAAAATAATAAAAATAAAAATCAATAATCAATGATAAATTACACCACACAATCATAATAAAAAACTTCACACAACATAATGTGATCTCTCCCTTTTTAACCTCGTCTTCTCATCTGAAGGTCATATAAAAACAAAAATAATAAAAATAAAAATCAGTAATCAATGATAAATTACACAACACAATCATAATAAAAAATTTCACACAACATAATCCTCATGAGAGATTACTAAAATCTTAATTGAAATAACATACCTCTTTAGTCTCCTCCAATACCTCAAAATTCTATACTACAATTACCAAACCTTCTAGTTTATTAATCAAACTTCATCCTATTTTTTAACTCGTATTCTTCAGATTTTGAATTTAGTATCATAAATTTATTGTTTATTTGAAATTATATAGAGAGACATTTGAAAGACTTCTATAAATAAATAAATAAAAATAAGGCTTATCATATTAAAATCATGTTATTCCAATTATATTGTTCCAATGACTTATCACGTTGAAATCAATGTCATGTTAGAAAACATGCGATTGCGTATAAGTGCCAAAGGCACTTAAAATAAGTAGGAAATAGTGTCATGACTGTAAAATGGTACAAGTTATTATTAGAAAATCTTCTTAGAATGGTGATAATGTTATTATTAGAAATCCTTTTAGAATGGTGGGATGATGATTTTAATTTAGTATTTTAGTGGAATTTTGTGACAAAAAAGAAGGAAATGATAATTCTTCATTTTAATGGAATTTTGTGACAAAAGAGAAAGAAATGATAGTTTATAGGTAAGTGCTGATAAAATATGGGTAATGCATTTCCTATATTTCTTCCGGATAGCAAACAATAATAATATATTTCCCAGGTTGCCTCCAAATACTACTAAAATAATAACAATCCATTTACAAGTAACATATTATGCAATAATGTATTACGCCACAAATATATTTCACAGATAATATATTTCCAAGTATCCAAACCGTCCCTTAATATTTAGATTATTGGAGTTAAACAAATTCTCTTAAATAAGTTGTCTGACCGAGGGATTAGAAGTAAAAGATGCTCTTGAGAGTGCATAATATAACTATGAATGGAAGCTCAAATGAGACTCAATAATTTTCTGAAAGTACCAGCAAATAGAAAATATTGAATTTGCTTGATCCATATAAAAATTTGGGATTTAGTAAAATTGTGTTTAATTAAAGCAGGGACTTTGTAAACCAAGATTTCTCAAAATTACGTATTTTTATTCATTTATTTAAAATTATATTAGTGAGAGGATGATGTTTGTTAAATAAATGAAACTTTGAATCATGAGTCCATGATGGTCTAACAAAATGGATGCCCTAGATCACATGAAAAGAAAAAACTTTTGGGATGAGTTGAGAGCATCTTTTGGTATTTCAATTTTATTTTTCTTGTACATTAGATTGAGCTGGTGTCTATTGTTCTCACCTTCATGCACTTCCAAAAAAATTATAAAAAAAATGTTTTGGAAAAAATAAAATGATTGAAATATCATCATGGAGCATGCGTGAATATTCCAATACTATTTCTTTTGTACTTCTAATCTAAAATTATTGTAAAAAATATAAAAATATATTAAAAACAATAAAATGATTGCGACACCCTTGAGACTATCATTCTCACTTGTCAGATCTTTATTAAATATTTAAGAGCATATGTGAGTATTTCAATTTTAATAATTTTTATATGCGTTAGAGTCTTAAGCATCAATATTTCTAGGGAAAAGTATATATACAATCAAATTTAAGGTGCACCTCAAAAATTTATTAAAAAAACGTTGCTTGTATGGACATGAGAAACAAAAGTTTTTTTTTTTTTCTGGGTAAGAACAAAAATAAACAGGTTTTCAAATATTAAAAATAGTGTATATGTATTATCTAGATTATTAATTTTCAAAATTTTCAAATATTTATAGATCTGCTCGATCTACATTGTTTTTTAACTTTAATTTTTACTATTAGAAATAAAAAATAAATTTTCAGGCCACCATAAAGATTTATAATATTAAAACCACAGATTTGTGCACTATTCAAGGTGCGGCCAAATTTGATTGTTTAGAGTCTCGGCCTTGTACAAACCATACCCATACTTCTAAGCCTTACACACTTGTAAAATATATATATTGAACCGATATCAACATGGGTTATGTTAAGGTGCTCACATTAAAAATATCGTTAACTATTGAATGAAAAACCCCTAATATTTTTAGAGATATGTGGGTTAGTTTTGTTATTTGAAGTATTTTATCTTTTTTACACAAGTGCTCCAATAATGCGCACGTAAGCTTCAAATTTCATCTCAATCTGATTTTGGAGAAAATATAAAGATATGAAAATATGGGATGCCTCGTATTTTTAAAATGACCAAATAGTCTACAAAAGGGAAAGCCCCACTACTTATTTTTGATAAATGTAATTTTCCTTCACTATAGCATTTCTAGTTGCCAAACTAAGAATTGCTACAAAATTCTAAAAATTTCGACTCCAACAACTAAATTTAGTTGCCAAATGACTCTGTAATCTTGTTCGGGTTCAAGATTTCGAGATTGAGAGAGAGAGAAAAAGGGACTTGATTCGGATAGAAAGTATATTAACTATGTCAAACATTAATAATAGTATTCCCTCAAAAAAAAAAAAAAACATTAATAATAGTATTGAGACAAATGACCCCATAAGAAAGAGACAAGAGAGTGTCTTGATTCGGATAAAAAGTATATTAACTATGTCAAACATTAATAATAGTATTGAGACAAATGACCCCATAAGAAGGAGACTAGAGAGACTTGATTCAGATAAAATATATATTAACCATGTCAAACATTAATAATAGCATTGAGACAAATGACCCCATAAGAAAGAGACTTCATTTTCCTAGAAAGTATATAAACGATATCAAGCTTTAATTAATAAATAGTATTGAGATTGTTATATGGTACTAAGATTGCTTGTAACATGAGAGGCTGTCGGTTTAAATGGGGTATTACTCAAATGCAGTCCTAGGGCCTTCCTAAAATTTACTGTGGAGATGAATTTCGGATCTATAAGAACATTCTATTTCATTTTAGACGTATTTTGACTTTAGGTATATGTTTTAAGGCTTAAAAATAGTATGTCTGATCATCTATAAAGAATAAAAAATAAACGACCATGAGAGGTCCAAAAAATAAATTTTAAGATAATTTAGAGGTGAGGGAATCACTATCTTCGGTGGTAGTTACTTTCCATCGTGTGTATTGGGAGGCAAATGGG